ATAAATATAAATATAGATATATATATGTATCCAATCAACCCCGGCTAGTCTCAGTTGAATGCCCAGAACCCATGCATGATTTTGATCAGTACAAACTGACAATCCCTGCCAAACCTATCTGAAGATTTGATCAAACCTATCTGAAAGCCTATCTCAAACCTAGCTCAAACCTATTTCAAGCCTCAAACCTCTGGGACCAGGAACCGCACCCGACGGGGAGCAGCATTCTCATTTTCAAGCTGTGCGAGTCTGGAAAAGCTCGCTAATCAATGCTCCATGAAGCAGCTTTCACACCCTGGCCACCCAGCCAACTAACCGCAGGCCCGCCACAAATGACACACTCGCCTTCCTCCTCACCCTCTTCCTGATCCTTGTGTTTTATTCTCTCCGGGGCCGTTAGCACGCCTACTGCAACGGCCAGGCTCCCTGACAAGGAACGTGGCTCCAGAGGGAAAAACAGGTAGGAGAGAATCAACTGCCGCGCAAGGTTGGGTAGAATCCCTGCCGCTCTGGCGCCCCTCCACATGCTGATAACCATGCTCACGATGCATCCTAATGGCTCATCGGCTTCGTCATCCGCAAGTGAGAACTTGTAGTTTTGAAACATAGTAGGTGGCGAGCTTCCCACAGGCAACTCGAAGGAACTGCAGCCGTCCTGCCATGCTTGATGTATGTCTCCTGGAAAATCTTGACCCTGATCCCAAGCTTGCTGAACTTCATCGGGAAGCTCAACTTCTTCCACCCGATCATAGTTCGCACCAACGTCAACGATTGTAGTGTCGTGCCCGGGGTCAGAGAGATAGCCGCCATTCTCAATGGTCACCGGCATCCCGTTCTTATCCAGCATGCAACCTCCTCTGGGCCAGAACACGCTGGACAGGAACACTGGCCGTTCGTCGGTAGTCCAGAAGCAGAGTCGAAGGCAACATTCTTGCTCGGTAACAACGTCTCTGGGAAAGTTTCCGCCAACCATCTCAACATACACCTCCACGACTTGATTCGACTCCCCAGCTCCAGGAGTTTCCTGAATCTGGATGGTGAGTTTCTGCTTCAATGAATGGAAGATGCCTGTCTTTGGATGCCGGCGCAGGTTGAAGCAAACCTGGTACACTGGCAGTGTGTCGAACACTCGTTCCGGTTGAAATCCCAAGGCGTGCCTCTGGCGGAATCATTGCCATCATCGAAGTGGTTGCCGGCAAAAGCCCCCATGGGTTGTGCATGTCGCTAGACGATCTTAACTTATTGATTTCCGTCGCTAGTCGCGTCTGTCATATCGTGACAGTTGCTGTGGCGATCTGCTGTTCCAGTCTTTGAAAGCCTGTGCCCCTGTGTGCATATGAACTCCATGGATCCCCGGCTCAAAGGTCCAGTCTGATGCGGTGACCGCGTTGCTGCTGATGGAGCTAGTGATGGGAGGGCATGTAATGACCCTAGGGCTCCCAAGCAAACAAATAGTACCTACTTTGGGGTCTAAAGTCTGTAAATAGTACCTACTTTGGGCTATTTGGAGCCCCAGGGTGATTCTGAACCAACAGTACAAGAGCGATGACGATGTTTGGTTGTCGTCGATGCCGTCGCCATGGGCAGGATGAGCATAATGATGGCGATGCAGACGACGATGATGCAGATAAGGCTTTCTGGTGACAATGAGAGTGCCGATCCTGATTGTCATGGTGATGTTGCTACTGATGATGATGATGATGATCGCTACTATGAAGCCGAGCTGAAACTTCATTTGTCGCTCCTCAATGCTGCATAGTACTCATACCGTCTGCCCAAAGCTCGAGCCCCTAAAGCTTCCCTAAACCCTCAACCTCGCTAAACCCTAAACCCTAAACCCTAAACCCTCAACCGCGAGCACCTAGAGCTTCAGACTTGGCCGCTTGAAGTTGGCGATGATGAGAGCCGCCGGACGCAGGGTCTTGTCTACTGCGAGGCATTGCTGCACTGTGTACCTGGTTTGGGATTGAGGGTTTAGGGTTTAGGGTCTAGGATTTAGGGTTTATGGGGTTTGGGATTGCTGCGCTGTCTACCTGTCGGTTTCTCGTAGAGGCGAGCTGCTGTCTGAGGTTCTGCGGTTCAAAACTTAGGAGTTTGTTAGGGTTTAGGGTTTAGGGTTTTTGGCCTTCGCCTGTATAAGGCCGCAAGACCACAGAGCCTGTCGATCATCCCCCGGCAAGTAAGGCATCCGCAGAGTTTTGTAGGACTTCGAAAACGGCATTGCCGCACTGTCCAGGAGGGCAGCCGCACCCAAGCACAGCCCCTCCAACCTCCCCGACAAATCAAACAGCAAATTCTGCTGCACGATTTAGGTGTAGAAACCCCTAAACCCTATAAACCCTAAACCCAAATTCTGCTACACGATTTAGGGTGTAGAGTTTAGGGTTCACTAACTTGTACTGTTGCGGCTTTGGCTCGAAGGTTTTACACCCAAGACACATCAAGACAGAAATAACAAGGGTTTAGGGTTTAGGGATACCGAATACCTCAACCATACACCCTAATTCCGGTAGACTCCTGATTAAGACCTCCCTACTTGGACGTTCATGGGCAGTTATATGATATTTGGGGTCATAAGTGGGTAAGTAGGGTAACTATAGTCATAACCCATATTAGGGGAGTAAGAATCCCACATACAACTACCCATGAACCTCCAAGTAGGGGTCTTGGAGCGGCTTTGATCCGTTCGAAGGGAGGAGGGCCTGCTAATCAGGGAGTAGTCGCTACTCTGTGGGTTTAGGGGCTTAAGGGTTTAGGGTGCAGTCCTCAACCCACCCCGTAAACGCTGCCGTCTACCATCTCAGCCTTCAGCGAGCACACGGACGACCGGTAAACTCCCACATGGTCCTTAAACTTTAAACCCGCTTGATCCCTGCCTGGACTCTAGAAAACCGTACTTGTTGAGGTCTTCTTCTTTATGATTTCATCCTATACAGAGGTAGGTTGTTTGGGGTTCATCCTAAAACAGGGTAGGCTTTTCGGGGTTCGCCCTATAAAGAGCTAGGCCTTTTTGGGGGGGGCTCAGGTTGCTCAAGAAAGCTCAAGCTGCTTGCATTCCTCCGACAGCGCTTTCCAGTCAGGACCCGTGCAGGAGACTGGGAGCGCCTGAACGGCATTGCCTTGGCTTTCCGAAGTCGAGGGCTTGAAGGGATGCTTTGGGTTCTATAAGGGTTGAGGTTTAGGGTTTAGGGTTTAGGGTTTAGGGGTTGGGGTATAAGGTTTCTCCAGGGGGTGTCAACGGCTTCAAGCTGAATGTTTTTTTTCTTAAACGTCTAAGCTGCTTAGGCACTGAACAGCTTTGCTTTCCTGAAATACTGTGTTAAGAGCCCTGCCTTTAGAAGCATTTCTGGGGCCGAACACCCGAAACCCTGAGCCATGCAAGCGTACGGAACAAGTACTTCAAGGCCTCAACATGATTGCCAGACCCCTTGGTTCACCACGATGTCGCAACCAACAAACCAACACAGTTCGCCAAGTCACAGAAATCTGAAAACTTGGCATAGTCGTGCATGCGACGCGGAAGCTGACCTATCACCATCAGGTGCAGGCAAAGACCTCGGCCAGCAACGGGTTTCCAGATTGAGTTCGGGCTTCGAGGGGGTTTAGAGCTTCCTAAGCTCTAAACCCTAAACCCCTAAACCCTAAACCCTGGACCCTAAATTTACATGCCCTATAGCAACACCTCCACCCCCCCCCCCCCCCCCCCGAAACC